TGCTTAGCTAGCCTACAACTCTGATTAAACCATGGGTTTCTCATCTTCATTTCTCTGTTTTCCTTTTGGACTGGGACAAACTTGTTTGCTGCGTCCTTGCACTTCTGCGTGATGTAATCCATCATATCTTGGGCCGTCTTTCCCCTGAACTCTGTTTCCCATGCTATATCTGTTAGGAATTTTCTTATCCCCTCATAGTTTCCCTTTCGTTATGCTAACCTTTTGGTTTCGGTATCCCTCCTCGAGTTCAATAACCCTTCTTCAATCAGGTACTCAAACACCAGTACACTGTGGTCGCTCATTCCTACTGGGTCCTCAAAACCGATTTCTCTTATGTCGGAGTCGTTCAGAGTGAAGACTAGGTCGAGTCTTGCTGGTTCGTCATTGCCTCTCATCCTTGTGGGTTCTCTGACATGCTGGGTTAAAAAGTTTCTTGTCACCACCTCCAACAGTTTGGCTCTCCACGTATCCTCGCCTCCATGCCGTTCCTTGTTCTCCCAGTCAATCCTTCCGTGATTGAAGTCGCCCATGATGAGCAGGTGGGATCTATTTCTACAGGCAGCAGAGGCTGCCCTCTCAATTATAGTGTTAACTGCCATGTTTGTTGTTTTCGTACTCTTGACTGGGTCTTCTGTCATTTGGTGGAGGGTTGTATATTACTGCTACTACTATCCTTGGTCCTCCCATTGTCATGGTGCCTGCTATGTAGTCTCGCGCGCGCGCGCGCGCGCGCGTGTGTGTGTGTGTGTGTGTTTATTTACTACTTGTATCTGCAGAATCGAGCTATTAGCTCTTGGACCCCGCCTTTCTAACAAATTTATTTTTCCTCTATTATGTCTAGTACATATATTTCTCTCTCAGCAAACACACTCCCGGTGTTTGTGTGGTAAATGGTAGAGGTTATCATATCTTGAGATGATTTCGGGGCTTAGCGTCCCTGCGGCCCGGTCCTCGACCAGGCCTCCTTTTTGTTGCACATCCCCCAGGAAGCAGCCCGTAGCAGCTGTCTAACTCCCAGGTACCTATTTACTGCTAAGTAACATGGGCATCAGGGTGAAAGAAACATTTTGCCCACTTGTCTCCGCCTCCACCGGGGGTTGAACCTGAAACCTCAGGACTACGAATCCGAAGCGCTGTCTACTCAGCTGTGAGGCGCCCTAGATAGAGAAAAAATGGTTTAGGAATCAGTACATTATACAATTGACGATTAAAAAGGCAGAGTTCTTTCTATATTTATAGAAATATATTTATAGATATATAGGACAGAGTCCTATATTTAATATAATATAGTTCCTGTTTAGAGACCAAATTCATGTATTTCTTATTTTATTGTTTTTAACAGGCGATGGAGTAGTTAAATAGTCTCTCAGAAAATGGTGTCGTCAGCAGCCTATTTGGCAGTGACCGTGAGTCTGTTCTTAAGTAAGTATTGAGTGGTTCCTGTTGTGGCCTAGAGTCTCAAGAGACCCTTAATCACTCTTAAAGTGCTAAGTGTATAGAGGACCTGTCACTTTCACCTCTTGTGGAGAAACTGAGAACTTGGTTTGGTGTAGAGGAGAGGACTAGTAGATCATTGTTAAAAATGCTTGCAACCAAACAAATAGGCTTCTTGCGTCACATAATAATAATAATAATAATAATAATAATAATAATTTATTTAGGAACAGTACATACATAGTTGCAGCATTACAGTACAAACATTCTGTTAGATTTAAAGATAGAGGTAGTACATACAATACCTAAAGCCACTAGTACGCATAGCCGTTAGTACCTGAACCATGCAATACTTGTGCCATACGCGAAGTATCTAGACTTGTTCCAGCATTAAATATATCTAAATTAGGGTTCTAATATTTGTATCCCCCATTTAATTTAGGCAGGCTGGCTTTGAGCGAGTCGGGAATAGCTACTTCGTGTCCAGATCCTCCACAGGCCGGTATCGGGGCACAGCTGACTTGGGATGGGTCGAAGGTACGTCCTGGTGCCCTTATATAAATTATTTAGAAACAGGATTAAAAAGCAAGATTTACAGATATGCACACTATTCAAAAATAGGTCAGGAAATACCTGGAGAGGGTTTCGAAAGTTCTACTCCCAGAGTAGATGAACCTGAGGTTAGGCTTTTCTGAAATAAATGATAAAAAAACATAAAATTGCTTCAAGCTGATTTATACAGGCTTTTAAAATGAACGAAAGATTGGCATGCAGCCTAGTGCTGAAAAATGTAGAGTTAAACTTCGGTAATAATATGTTTCTAAATCTCAGCTGGACAAAGTTGAAGTTGTAGTGTGAATGGGATAATGATATTTATTATTATTAACATCTTCATTGACAAAATTAATTACAATTTTGCCTAATCTGGGGATTTCGATTAAGTCTTAAGTGAGGATAATGCTGGTATTCACTGTCACGCAGGACAGAGGGTCATACACAAGACAATAGGTCTAAACTGAAGGCGGAAGCACATATATATCATGGTTACAATCAATGTTTTAATGTATGGATATGTGAAAACAACTTTCTATTGTGCGATAAAGATCTGAGGGTTGTAGATCTGAGGGTTGTGATTAATGGGGATCTTGAGCCCATCAATCAGTTCATAAATGTAGTGAATAACGATGTACGACACGAGGATTTATTTCTAGATGCATTAGAAACAACGCCCCATTTATATTCTGCAATTTAGTTTTGGTTTCTGTATTATATAACATAGAGAAACTCACTCGAACGCCTACAGAGGATGATAAAATTAATCACAGGAATTAGAAACCTTATCATGAAAAAAGATTGAGAAAAACCTAATTAACATTCTCTAGAAGTACGAACGATAAAACGGGATATAATTGAAGAATAAAAATTGATAAAAAGGGAATACAAAGTTGATATAAGTATGAAATTCAACGTGTCAAAACAAAATGAAACACGGAACAAAGGATATAAATTGGATAAGTTTAGATTAGGATAATCCTGGGTAAATACTGGTTTGGAAACGGTGCTTCATATCTGGAAAAGATTACTGAGTAAGATAATAGACGTGGAGCAACTGGGGGAGTGTCTCAAGCGTAGGTCAGACAAACATATATCAATACAAGCTGCAGTTTCCGGAATTCTTATATTCTTATGACCACTCTTATAATAACATAATGGTAAAACAATGAAACTGTCGCTAACAACTTCTACTAACTAACTCATTCCCCACACCTGCCCTCCTTCCCCACACCTGCCTTCCTTCCCCACTCCTGCCCTCCTTCCCCACACCTGCCTTCCTTCCCCACTCCTGCCCTCCTTCCCCACACCTGCCCTCCTTTCCCACACCTGCCCTCCTTCCTTTCACCTGCCCTCCTTCCCCACACCTGCCCTCCTTCCCCACACCTTCCCTCCTTCCCCACACCTGCCCTCCTTCCCCACACCTGCCCTCCTTCCCCACACCTGCCCTCCTTCCCCACACCTGCCCTCCTTCCCCACACCTGCCCTCCTTCCCCACACTTGTCTTCCTTCCCCACACCTGCCCTCCTTCCCCACACCTGCCTTCCTTCCCCACTCCTGCCCTCCTTCCCCACACCTGCCCTCCTTTCCCACACCTGCCCTCCTTCCTTTCACCTGCCCTCCTTTCCCACACCTACCCTCCTTCCCCACACCTGCCCTCCTTCCCCTCACCTGCCCTCCTTCCCCACACCTGCCCTCCTTCCCCACCTGCCCTCCTTCCCCACACCTGTCCATCTTCCCCACACCTGCCCTCATTCCCCACACCTGCCCTCCTTCCCCACACCTGCCCTCCTTCCCCTCACCTGCCCTCCTTCCCCACACCTGTCCTTCCCCACACCTGCTCTCCTTCCCTACACCTGCCCTCCTTCCCCACACCTGCCCTTCTTCCCCACACCTGCCCTCCTTCCCCACACCTGCCCTCCTTCCCCACACTTGCCCTCCTTCCCCACACCTGCCCTCGTTCCCTACACCTTCCCTCCTTCCCTACACCTGCCCTCCTTCCCCACACCTGCACTCCTTACTCACACCTGCTCTCCTTCCCCACACCTGCCCTCCTTCCCCACACCTGTCCTTCCCCACACCTGCCCTCCTTCCTCACACCTGCCCTTCTTCCCCACACCTGCCCTCCTTCCCCACACCTGCCCTCCTTCCCCACACTTGCCCTCCTTCCCCACACCTGCCCTCCTTCCCCACACCTGCCCTCCTTCCCCACACCTGCCCTTCTTTCCCACACCTGCCCTCCTTCCCCATCCTGCCCTCCTTCCCCACACCTGCCCTCCTTTCCCACACCTGCCCTCCTTTCCCACACCTGCCCTCCTTCTCCATCCTGCCCTCCTTCCCCACACCTGCCCTCCTTTCCCACACCTGCCCTCCTTCCCCATCCTGCCCTCCTTTCCCACACCTGCCCTCCTTTCCCACACCTGCCCTCCTTCCCCATCCTGCCCTCCTTTCCCACACCTGCCCTCCTTCCCCACACCTGCCCTCCTTCCCCACACCTGCCCTTCTTTCCCACACCTGCCCTCCTTCCCCATCCTGCCCTCCTTCCCCACACATGCCCTCCTTTCCCACACCTGCCCTCCTTCCCCACACCTGCCCTCCTTCCCCACACCTGCCCTTCTTTCCCACACCTGCCCTCCTTCCCCATCCTGCCCTCCTTCCCCACATCTGCCCTCCTTTCCCACGCCTGCCCTTCTTTCCCACACCTGCCCTCCTTCCCCATCCTGCCCTCCTTTCCCACACCTGCCCTCCTTCCCCATCCTGCCCTCTTTTCCCACACCTGCCCTCCTTTCCCACACCTGCCCTTCTTTCCCACACCTGCCCTCCTTCCCCATCCTGCCCTCTTTTCCCACACCTGCCCTCCTTTCCCACACCTGCCCTCCTTCCCCATCCTGCCCTCTTTTCCCACACCTGCCCTCTTTTCCCACACCTGCCCTCCTTTCCCACACCTGCCCTCGTTCCCCACACCTGCCCTTCTTCCCCACTGCAGGTTTTGACCAGCCTTGCAATGTACCGCTGCCCGACCTTGAGCTTCGCGTGTTCTGGACTGACACAAGTGAATGCTACCTGCCTCCTCGGTGTTTGGAGTTTCTGGTCGGGCATACTTCTTAATATACCGTTTTCAGGCAGAGAAGGATGTGCACAAGGTAAGAGCGTGCGCGCGCACTCACACACACGCATGTATGCACACGCACGCACGCACGCACGCATGCGCGCGCGCGCACACACGCACGCACGCACGCACGCACGCACGCACGCACGCACGCACACACACACACACACACACACACACACACACACACACACACACACACACACACGCACGCACGCACGCACGCACGCACGCACGCACGCACGCACACACACACACACACACACACACACACACACACACATACACACACACACACACACACACACACACACACACACACACACACACACACACACACACACACACACACACACACACACACACACACACACACGCACACGCACACACTATCTCGTCTCTGGGACATGACCAGAGACGAGATAGTAAGGGCAGCAGATGCAAGGAAAAGGCATTTTCAACACTGCCATGTCCACCTTCGGTAAGAGGCAGAACAAGTCATCAGATTGGTTCGAGGCCAGTGCAGAGAAACTGTCACCCCTCATAGAGGAAAAGAGACGAGCTCTCTCATCCTATAAGAACCTGCCCTCAGAAAGGAACCTACAGGCCCTCCGTACTGCCCGCAGTAGAGTTCAACGATTACTGGCTTCGACTATGTTCCAGCATCCAGACTGCGGCCACTTGCGGCAACATAAGAGGCATGTACGAAGGGATCAAACAGGCAACAGGACCTACACAAAACAGGACGGCTCCTCTGAAGTCAGTCACTGGAGAGATCTTTAAAGACCTTAATCATCAGATGAATCGCTGGGAGGAACATTACTCCGAACTCTACTCCAGAGAGAACTTGGTCAGCGTAGAGGCTTTGGATTCAATCGAGTGCCTGGCCATCATGGAAGAACTTGATCTTGAACCAACTGTGGAAGAAGTTGAGAAAGCAGTAGATTCACTTTCCTCAGGGAAGGCCCCAGGAGACGACAGGATTCCGCCTGAAGTTCTCAAGTGTGCTGGTGGAACACATAAAACTGAGCTTCATGAACTTCTGTGCCGGTGCTGGAGGGAGGGCTCGGTGCCACAAGACATGAGAGATGCAAACATCATCACTCTCTACAAAAATAAAGGTGACAGAAGCGATGTAAACAACTATCGCAGCATCTCCCTCCTCAGCGTCGTCGGCAAACTCTTCGCCAGGGTCGTCTTGGTCTGGCTTCAGATTCTTGCTGAAAGAGAGTACCCCGAGTCACAGTGTGGTTTCCCAGCAGAGAGGTCGACCACTGACATGGTGTTCTCCCTGAGACAGCTTCAAGAAAAGTGCAGGGAGAAAAGAAAAAACCTTGTACATTCCCTTCATTGACCTTACAAAGGCCTTCGACCTCGTGAATAGGGACGGACTCTTCAAGATCTTGGCCAAAATTGGCTGTCCACCCGTCCTACTCAGCATGATACAATCGTTCCACAAGGACATGAAGGGAACAGTCGTGTACGACGGCTCAACTTCTGAACCATTCAACATCAACAGTGGTGTTAAACAGGGGTGTGTTCTTGCTCCAACCCGTTCGGCATCTTCTTCGCGATCCTCGTCAAGCATGCCTTTGGAACAACCACAGAAGGCATCTATCTCCGTACAAGATCTGATGGAAAGCTCTATAATCTATCTAGACTCCGAGCAAAGACAAAAGTACAGATGCGAATCCTCAGGGAGTTCCTCTTCGCCGACGACGCAGAGATCACCACACACACAGCAGAAGGCCTGCAGCAGCTACTCAACCGCTTTGCCGCAGCCTGTTCCGCATTCGGCCTGACAATCAGCCTGAAGAAGACACAGGTGATGGGACAAGATGTCAATAAGCTACCCTGTATAAATATAGCAGACTATGTGCTGGAGGCAGTTCACGAGTTTGTGTACCTGGGCTCCACAATCTCAGACACCCTTTCCCTGGACACTGAGCTCAACAGGCGTATCGGGAAGGCCGCAACAACACTGGCCAGGCTCACAAAGCGCGTTTGGGAAAATGCCAAACTGACAGTGCACACCAAGGCACAAGTCTACATGGCATGTGTGCAAAGTACACTTCTCTACGGCTCGGAATCCTGGACCCTTCGCTCTCGCCAGGAGAGACGGCTTAATACCTTTCACATGCGGAACCTGAGAGGCATCCTTGACAGCACGTGGAAAGACCACGTCACCAACAACACAGTACTCGAGAGAACAGGAGTCTCTTCAATGTTCACTCTCCTGAAACAGAGACGCATGCGATGGCTGGGACATGTCACACGCATGGTCGATGGCCGCATACCGAAGGACCTCTTGTATGGAGAACTGGCATCAGGAAGGAGACCCACCGGAAGACCTCAGCTGCGTTTCAAAGATGCCTGCAAACGCGACCTCAAGCAGATGAACATCGACATCAACACTTGGGAGGCAGCAGCTGCGGACAGATCTGCCTGGAGATGCAAAGTGCAGAAGGGACTCCAGCAATTCGAGGATGAACTGAAGAGGCAGGTGGAGGATAATAGACTTCAGAGGGGGTCTCGACCACTGTCAGACGCACCCGCTTCGGCGTTTATCTGCGCTCGCTGCGGTCGGGACTATCATTCTCGGGTTGACCATCACAGCCACAGCAGGCGCTGCATTCAACTACACTACAACAACTAGACACCCAGGGCACAACTCATAACTCCACGGGATTGACGGATGCCTACTATAGTATATTTATAGACACAAATGCTAGTAAGGTGAGGTTGTTAAGAGTACACTAAGTTAGAGGTGCCGCAGAGGTCTAATTACAAGCGGTCTGACTCCACAATATGGCCCCGGGGCCTTGAATGCCTCGCTGCGCTCACGATTGATGCAAAGAATTGTCAATAAATGTTGCAAATTGCTTCCTGGCGACGAATGTTGCATTTCATAAATATATTAACATAAAGAACGTTGGTTTGTGATTGCTTTATTTAGACGCTGTGAGGTGTTTGGCCCAGGCACGTACTGTGGCATGTGGGCTCTGGCACAGTACTGTGGCACTTGGGTCTGGCACAGTACTGTGGCACTTGGGTCTGGCACAGTACTGTGGCACTTGGGTCTGGCACAGTACTGTGGCACTTGGGTCTGGCACAGTACTGTGGCACTTGGGTCTGGCACAGTACTGTGGCACTTGGGTCTGGCTCCGTACTGTGACACATAGGTCTGGCACAGTACTGTGACACTTGGGTCTGGCACAGTACTGTGACACTTGGGTCTGGCACAGTACTGTGACACTTGGGTCTGGCACAGTACTGAGGCACTTGAGTCTGGCACAGTACTGTGACACTTGGGTCTGGCACAGTACTGTAACACTTGGGTCTGTCACAGTACTGAGGCACTTGGGTCTGTCACAGTAATGTGACACTTGGGTCTGATTCAGCACTGTGACACTTGGGTCTGTCACAGTACTGTGACACTTGGGTCTGGCTCAGTACTGTGACACTTGGATCCATGGTACCTTAGTACTGTGACCCGTGTCACAGTACTGTGACACTTGGGTTTGTCACAGTACCGTGACACTTGGGTCACAGTACTGTGAAACTTGGGTCACAGTACTAAGGTACCATGGATCAAGTCTGCGTATGCCGCCACCAGCTTTTACCTCCGTATATTCTCTGGCAGCGTGTCCGAACTTCAGCAACGCGATGCAGCCCACTTGGAACTCTGACTACTCGAAATTAATTTACGTGTGCGCGTCAGGCTTCGTGATGTCATCTGGTGCCACTAATTTCCAAGTTCAACTGAATAGTGACGGCACGTGGAGCATCCCACAGGACGCCGCTTGTGGTAAGTACCGTTCGTTTAAGGATCTATTGTGCATTCATGATTGTGTGTTCACCTAGTTGTGTTTTGCGGGGGGTTGAGCTTTGCTCTTTCGGCCCGCCTCTCAACTGTCAATCAACTGTTTACTAACTACTTTTTTTTCCTTCACACACACACACGTGTGTGTGTGTGTGTGTGTGTGTGTGTGTGTGTGTGTGTGTGTGTGTGTGTGTGTGTGTGTGTGTGTGTGTGTGTGTGTGTGTGTGTGTGTGTGTGTGTGTGTGTGTGTGTGTGTGTGTGTGTGTGTGTGTGTGTGTGTGTGTGTGTGTGTGTGTGTGTGTACGCGCGCGCGTGCGTGCGTGCGCGTGCGTGCGTGCGCGCGTGCGTGCGTGCGCGTGCGTGCGTGCGTGCGTGCGTGCGCGTGCGTGCGTGTGTGCGCGTGTAATCCAAATTATCATAGGTAATACTATTTTATGTACTTGTTCATCGTGGACATAACTCGAACTTGTAGAAAAGGAGGCCAGGATCGATGCTTCCTACAAAGAAAGACATCAGAAATGAGTCAGACTGCCGGCGATCTTCACCTGAACATTGACCAGGTGAAAATCGTAGTCAATATTGATCTCCATTTAACCCAACATCACACTGACCTCTTACTTTTGATAATGACTTAGTTTACCCATCAACTAGTATTTGCGTTCACGTTTTCTGTATCAACATCCTCCCTTGTGATGTGTGGTACGGGAATTGTAAGCGACTGTATACGGAGCTGGGGTCAGGGGGTTAGAAATAGCCTAAGCTACTCTATCCCTTTCAGATGTATGTCTTTCTTATCTCACTAATCATACTTGAACTTGACTGTTTATTGCAAGGGCTGATCGAGGGGACACGTCACTGTTGCTGCGGTGTGTAATAATTGTTACAATGACAGCTCGGTGTGTAGATGCTATATATCCTCGGAATTAAAAGCTGTATTTTTCTTGCAGTATGGTCTGGGTCACCGAGCAACACAAAAACATCACCATCTCCATCTGCATCAACAACTACAACACCTACATCTACATCAACAACTACAACACCTACATCTACATCAACAACTACAACACCTACATCTACATCAACAACGACAACGCCTACATCTGCATCAGCAACTACAACACCTACATCTACATCAACACCTACATCAACAACTACAACATCTACATCTGAATCAACAACTACAACATCTACATCTACATCAACACCTACAACACCTACATCAACAACTACAACATCTACATCAACACCTACATCAACAACTACAACATCTACATCTGCATCAACAACTACAACACCCACATCTACATCAACAACTACAACATCTACATCTACATCAACAACTACAACACCCACATCTACATCAACACCTACAACATCTACATCTGCATCAACAACTACAACACCTACAACACCTACATCAACACCTACAACACCTACAACTACAACATCTACATCAACAACTACAACACCCACATCTACATCAACACCTACAACACCTACATCTACAACTACAACATCTACATCTGCATCAACACCTACAACACCTACATCAACAACTACAACATCTACATCTGCATCAACAACTACAACATCTACATCAACAACAACATCTACATCAACAACAACATCTACATCTGCATCAACAACTACAACATCTACATCTGCATCAACAACTACAACACCTACATCTGCATCAACAACTACAACACCTACATCAGCAACTACAACACCTACATCAATATCTGCATCAACAACAACTACAAATACATATGCAACAGCAACACCAACAGCTACAACGATACCTACATCTACATCAACTGCAAATACAGGTACATCAATGCCGGCAACACCAGCACTTACAACTGCACCACTGGCAATAACAACAACACCTAGTATTCCTAATATTACAACTACATCAACACCTACATTTCCAACACCTTTCCCTCCATCAACAACAACAACCGCAGCAACACAAAATGGAATCCCAGGTAAAGTAAACTAAAGTAAACTACCCCAAGTAAACTAATGCAAGTAAAGTAACTTAAGGTAAAGTAACTTAAGGTAAAGTAACCTAAGTTAAGACTCCCTAAGTAACCTAGCCAAAGTAACTCAGCATTATTATTAGAGAACATTTAAAAATTCATGGATTATCCCCTGTAAATATTGTAATATTGTACCAATAAGTAGCCTCAGTAAAATATTAATTTAATAATTCTAATATTTGTTTTGTTGTTGTGTCCACGACTAATAATTATATATTCTTCCAGAGCTGATATATATATATATATATATATATATATATATATATATATATATATATATATATATATATATATATATATATATATATATATATATATATTAATTGTTATTCTTTAATCACCACTTGTGATCTAGATATATTTGTTATTTTCTACTCTCTCTCTCTCTCTCTCTCTCTCTCTCTCTCTCTCTCTCTCTCTCTCTCTCTCTCTCTCTCTCTCTCTCTCTCTCTCTCTCTCTCTCTCTCTCTCTCTCTCTCTAATGCCTTGGACATAAACCTTGACGAACTATGATCTATCCTGTTATGATCCCATTCCTAGTGAGTGTGGGGGAGGGGGGGAGAGAATGAATGATAAAGGCAATGATATTTAGTCAATGATGGAAAATTATATAAAATATATATAAATGTAATAATTTCCCCTGTAAATTAATGTAAATATAATTTCTAAAACTGTAAATCATTTAAAGAAAAATAAGTATAACATTTAGGGGTTTAAAGTTCATGCTCTGTGATAATATGAAACACTTGTTTACTAAAAATTATACTACTGTATATGTAATGTAGCATTTCCTTGTAAAATTTATGTATATATGATTTATATTGTATATTATTAAATAAAGATTTAAAAATGTACTTATATGAATCAAATATATTGTAATACAATACTTCACTGAGTATCATGATCCCAACTTTATATATTACTGAACTGAGAAAGAGAGAGAGAGAGAGAGAGATATTGGGAGAGGGAATAGAGATTGGGAGAGAAAAGGAAGAAATTTAGATAGATAAGGGAGAATGGTAGGGAGGCAAGGAGAGGGGTGTTGTGACCTAGTTTATCTAACTATAGTTCATAACTGTGAATTCCAGTGTATACAACACATCCATGTATGTTTTTTTGTAAAATTCAGTGAATGCTGGTTCTGTTCCATGTCACATAATGTTGCATACTCTTGTATTTTTAATTTCATGTTTATATATTTATATTGCATTGGAATTATTATCTGGTTTATTGTTGTGTATACGGAGTCAGTATGTTGGGAGGAGATTGTATGCCGAGATACAGTGTTGTGAGCAAGACCTGTATTTGACAGGGTTAGCAATGGTGGGAGGTACGACAGGTCTGCCAACCTCGATTTGTAAAGCAAAACTCTATATAATTTTCGGTATGACTCTTGTTCTTGCCAGTTACTATTGATTTTATTATTTTCCTCTATTCATAAATTAGTTTCAGCCCAATTTGCTGATTGGAGAATATGCGTCGGATGTGAGTGGCTGATGTATGCTGATTCTGTAAGGTTTGTAATTCTGAGTGAAGCAGCGGCGTTTGTTGTGGTCAGTGGAGGGCGGCGCGAGGTCCGACTGCTGGCTATTATAAGTTAAGTCTATTTTTCCAGTTTTGCACCGTTCTTGTGTCATGTAAGTCCACGACGGGCTCACCATAGCCTGTGCTACTTGCCCCGCTCCTGTGCCAGGTAAGTTACGGGCTCACCATAGCCCGTGCTACTTGGAACTTGTTCCCAGTAGCTGAATCTATAACAACAACAACAACATCCAGTTGTCTACAATCGTAAATTGTTCTGCCATTCATTCATTTGTTGATTAGTTGATTTATGGATATAAATAGTGAATACTGTGTTCCCTGTACTGAGGTAACAGTTATATTATTAAGAAATTGGCCTGCTGAGGCTTTGTGTTTGGTGGGGGTTCCACTGGAACCACCCCCCCCCCCCACCAGGCAATACAATGTTACTGTAGTACAGTGTTAATTTACACTAGGTAGCACTTTCACCAAAGTTATTAATAATCAAGTTAATTAATAAACTTATCGCCATAGCGTGTTTGACTCACCGAGAGGAAGAATATTATTAATGACTGATCAGCCATCATCTGAACCCTCGTGAGTAATTATTATTAAGTGGATTGTCTTTATTAACTATGTCAGTGATTCACTTACAGTATTGCATAGTAACTGGTATGAACCATTGAGTTTATGTATATAGCTAGACTTCCTTACTTACAGTACATGTACGGTAATTAAAAATGGAAATGTAGAAGACATGTAAATTCTAGAGGTTCACCTAAAACACTCAAGTGACCGGCACAATTATTTTGGATTGGCAGGACTTGAACTAACAGCTAGAGTACATTACGTCTATTACAAGATACGGGGAAGGGTCCTAATATTACAACACGGAAATCATTGTTCACTCACCAGATCGTTTACTGTACTCAGTCACTGAGAAACCACCCTCAGTGGGTTAAGTCCGGGTCCGCACCAACACACCCTCAGTGGGTTAAGTCCGGGTCCTAGGCTGGGGATAGAAGGGTCTTCGTCTGAGGACGGGTTGCTATATGCTTCACCCATGTACTGCAAATACCAATAATGGGGCAACAGAACCTAACCTAAGTTAGGTCCATTCTAGTAAGAAATATTATTACCTTATATTTGACAACAAAAAATAATTTTGAATGCGCAGTACGTTAACATTGATGTTCGGGTTCGGCCGCCGACTTGACGAGCCTAGCCGTAGGACAGATCTCTAAACCTTTTGGGGTGCAGGTGAGGTGTTTTGGATAATCCGTGGGCTTCATTGCAAGACGCCTTGATCCCTCGCCGCACTGGTTGGTTCCACCGGTCAGCGTCTTACCCTGCTGTCATGACAACGACTTGTCTAATTTTCAGAACATTCTGCGTCGTCGTCCTCTGGATGGGAATCTTCTCCCGCCTTCAGAGTTCCTCATCATCACCAAATCTTACATAAAACTACAAAAACATATTCACACTGACTCTATCTTCGTCTAGGTTAAACATGATGACACACATGATTTTCACCCACAGGGTTAACCCATAGAACCGCCCAATCGCCGAAACCATAAATGCCAAATGACTGTTAACTTTTAAAGTACAGCTGGAAAAGATCATCAAGGCAAATGGTGATGGACCTTTGACAAGCCGCCGGCTTCCTTTCCTCGTCGATTCCACTAGTGTTAGTGGCTCTCAGGTAAACGATTAAAGAAGAAAAACAATGGTTGCCGAGAACAACTCATACGAGAGGAGTTAGCCTAAGCTGCAACTGGAATCATGATAATACATAATAATTTTTTCAGGGCAGCAGGCAAGTGTTACACAATGCATAAAATGGGAAGGCTTCATCCTTTTAACAAGTTACCATCAGTTCAATTATTTATTACAACATTTAAAGATGCAAAATTAAAGGAGTTACAGCATGAATAGGAAATCGTCGCTCAATGCTTTCAATATCTTTAGTGTAGCCTATAACATAACAGGGTATAGGTTAGATTCGGGCAATTTAGTACATAATTTTAGTGAGGTGACAACTGGAGACGAACTGCTCGATTTATAGCACCCATTCATTTGTTCGCTGGGGAGTTCGACGTCAAAATGAGCTGTAATATCCGAGAATATCAGGGAGAAAGCGTCAAGCCATTACGACATATAGCGTATTATCCGAGAGGACTAGTGAACTAAGTAATAGCTGACAAGACTGAATATGCCGTAATATTTGTATATTATTATTTCCTGATAAACAGATTACATAGCCAATTTGATGACAAATTCGATTTATAAGTTTATTTAATGTAAATTAAATGACATTCAATTTTGTAACTAGCTCATAAAGACTAACTTAGCTAAATGAATTTTGGGGTTCCGTCCCTGAGCCCATCATCATGTATCTCAATAACCCTTTCTTCTACCGCCCAGAGGTACAGGTACGTAATAAAGGAATTTGTTTTAATACCAAAGAGCACACTGCAGTTTGCTGCTACCGTATTCTATATAAAGGATTACAAAATGTAAATAAAAAACTAGCAATAAGTTCACTTAACATCCCCATCTCATAGGATGGTTAATCATACTAGAATCAGGAGAGAGCATAATCTGGGAGGCTGATCTATTAGCATGCACTAGCAGAAGGGTAGAGCACAAGAATATCTTCCAATATTCGTGCGCGTATGAATTTGTTACAGAGCTCAAAGTACCTTTACCTGATTTACCCGAGGCTCACTAACACTAGTGGCCTCGACGAGGACAGGAAGCCGGCGGCTTGTATCTCATGGTACCTCAATATTCATATCATTTGGTCTGAGATTATTAATAGCAGGGCAATCACAGATATAGTAACTCTTGTTCACTTAGTTTACGATTGGTGATTCACTACCTGCACCCATCTGCCTTAGATATCGACATCTCAGCCTAATTTTGGCAATTACAAAGTCACACTATCTAGTAGATGTTTTGTGCTGCCATACATCTAGTTCTCAGTTCTAAACATATCATAGCTATTTATATTCATGCTTTCTGACCTTTGAGTGTTGGCCCGTGACAACTCAGAGACTTGGGTAGGTACTGGTTCGGTCGCGGGGTTGTTGATTTGTGGAGCCGGTTGCCGCGTGGCGTGCTGGAGGTGGGGTCCCTCGATTGTTTCGGGCGCGGGTTGGACGGGTGTGTGAGTGGGATTGGGTGGTTATAAATAGGAGCTGCCTCGTATGGGCCAATAGGCCTTCTGCAGTTGCATTTGTTCTTATGTTCTTAACTCTTCTGCCATCCCTAATTTCCTGAAATACTTCGGCTTTTACAAGAGAGACTGGAATGCCCATATCCAACTCAACTTCAGGCTTATCACATGCATTTTTAGCTGCTTTGTCTGTGTCATAATGCTAAACTAAGTTTATTTAATGTAAATTTCAAAATCATAAACTTCCTCGATTATCTTCAT